ATAACTTCAACCACACAATCAAAAACATCAACAACACAACCCAACAACTTCAACAACACAATCCAATCTTTTCTTAAAAATAATGAGTTTGGTGTGTGGGGGAAAGGATCAACCCACACTAAGAACTCACATACCTAGTAAGGATCACCCCCGACGATATCCACGACGATCTTTGACGGAAACTCCTTGCTTGATCTCCTCTTTCTCCTCTTCTTCTCCTCTTCTTCTCCTCCTCTTCTCTTCTTCTTCTCTTCTTCTTCTCAAGCCCTAGCTTTCACTCTTTTAAAATGGGATAAAAATGATCCAAAAATCAGCCTAACACACAATATAACCCCAAAAGAAATAGCTAGGGAAAAGACCAAAATGCCCTTAAAATTCCCGGACGGATTTCCTGCCAACTGCCTAACTTTCAAAGGGTATAACTCGCTCATACAAATTCGGAATCGATCAAACTCGGTGGCGTTGGAAAGATCATTCCACAAGCTTCGCAACCATAACTGGAACCACTCCTAACTCATCCTGAGCTAGGAGTTCTGGCTGTTCAAAGTTGGCCAAAAACTCACTAATTTCCACACTTAGCCAAATTTTCCAGATTTTTGAACTTTTCATTTTATTCCAAAAATGACTATTTCCGATTTTTAAGCCTCTTCATAGCTATTTCAAATTGTCGGATGTTACACCCGTACTGTTCCATGAGACTCTATTAGACTCGTTTTGGCACATCGAGTTCAACGAACCTAGGCTCTGATACCAACTTTGTCACGACTCAGACCGTCGTGATTGACACCCACACTAACACTCCGGTGGGAGAACCACTACTACAACCCAAACCAAGCAACTAAGGCATTTAACACAGGAAAACATAAATAAATGCTAAACGAAAGTTCTCATAACTTCAACAAAAGATCTAATAACTAATAACGCAGAAGAAATAACCTAGAACGTGAAAGTCAATGTACCAAAACATCTAAACAAATGATCCAAGTCTAAACAAGAAGGGATGCATCCCCAAACTAATGAACTAATCAACTATCTAGAACAAATATCTAAGTCCAGAATTGAAAAGAGAATTCCATGGTAGCCCGGAAGAATTGGCTCACCCTTGAATTCGAAGCGACGATCATTGATATTCTAAGCGAGATTTATCAATAGTCACGTGAAGATGCCCTGTACTCAACAAAAATAAGAGCAAGTGTAGTATCAGTACACAATCATCGTGTATTGGTAGGATCACGCGGCTATCCCATTAGTGCAACATAAATAAGTCAACAACATTATAGACACATGCATATATATATCAACATATACAACATTATCAAAATGAAGAATCAACAACGCATTTCACATATTACATCACCTCATTGGTCCTCTTATGGAACCCAAACCCAAACAGTTAGCTTGCCGAAACGTGGCAACCGATCCCATAATTATGCCGGAACGTGGCAATCCAATCCAATAGTTATGCCGGAACATGGAAATCCAATCCAAGTTAGTTATGTCGGAACGTAGCAACCGATCATTCACACACCACAATCACAATCACAAGTACATCATCAAGATTATACAATTAAGTCATGATTTCTTGGCAATGATAATTAATCTATCTCATTTACAACAAGTGTGATCAACATTGCAACATTCATACATATACAAGTATCATAATGAAGCAAGAACAAGCATACATCACACAATCATAGAATCACAACTATCACCTACCTCAAAACAAGCTTGAAACCCTAAGAAACTTGATCCTTCCCTTTCCGGATTCGTTCTGCTTATTCTTAGTCTACAAACAATCACAATAACACGGAAATCAACAAACAATCGCTAATTACCCGAAACTATAACAATTCTATGAACCCTAGATCAAACCCATGATCCCTATCACCCAAATAGGGTTGGTTCCTCCATAGAATCTATCACAAAACCATTCCCCATCAATATTCACCTATTCTATTACGTTCTATGGATCGAATAATGGATTCGAGGAGTGAAAAGCTTATCTTTAGCCTCAAGAATGGTGAAAAATGAGTAGAAATCACCTGGGGGTCGTTCCTTAGATCTAAAAGCTGAAAAGTGCCAAATAAGGTCGTTTAGGGGTTTATTAACGACATTAAGTCGCGTCTGTCCCACCGCAACTCCCCTCACCCCGCTGTAGTGGCAGCGCGAGAGCAACCCAAGTGCCCGCCAACATGGCATTTTTGAACCAGTGACTAGTTGTCTTTCACCTACGATTTTAACTCTCATCGTACCCGCCATAGCGCCCCATATCCCACTATAGCGACCCCGCCAGAGAGGCCACACTCCCGCCAAGGCGGCACAAACGGAACCAGAGAGTTAATTCAAAGAATTCCAAAGCCCCAACTCACAACACACCTCTAACCCTCGACGATCAAAAAATGCCATTTACGCTAAGATCGATTTCGGGAGTTCTACTCACCCGAATTCAATTCCGTAAAGTCGTACGGATTCCTTAACGAGTTATCTAACTATTCATGCAATCAAAACCATAATTACTCCATCCGATTGTTACCAGATTTTTCTACACCTTAGAGACCCCGATTTCGTCCAAATCTGGACTAGGTTGGGAAAATTCGAGTACTACGAAAAAGTTTTTCCAGCCCCAAATTTCCCCCCGTTGGCATTTATATAACGATGGAACTCGGTCGTTACAATCAACCCCAATGTCCTCATCCCCACCAACCTCACATCCTTAACCCCCTATGTCGACCTTAATTGTGCTTGCTTAGATTTTATACAAATATTATTTTCAAAATATTTTATTCAACTTATTTATTAAACATTAAAAATAAATAAGAAACTCACATAATTTTATTTTATTTTAAAAAGGAAGCAATCTTCCATCATACGTACACCCTAAAAGTGTTGTTCTTCAATTATACTTGATATCAAATTAAATTTTAGAATAAATAGTGGCTTGAACACACTCAAAGTGTTATTCTATGATATCTTTTCTGAAACGTAATGTCTATATACACTTTATTCTATGATACTAAAACTTTATTTATTCTATGATACTTTTCTCAAAATGCACACTATTTCATGTAAGTAATATAGGCAGGTTTGCAATTAATCTATATATAGTATACCCATATAGAATTTAATATTCACCATCTCTCATATTCCTTCACCTTCATAAAAGCCAGAGCAAAAGAATTTAAGAAGAAACTCAAGTACACTCCAACTAGTCCATTTCGAATCAGGTAATTTTTAAATGTCTTAGACGTACAACATCCCATCCTATACACTATAATAAATAAATAATTTTGTGAGAATACTATAATTGTCACTATATTATATTTAGCGATAATAATATAATATAAGTATTTAATAACCAACATTCTAGATAAATGTGGTTAAGTAAGCAGTAATTGTCTCAATTGTACCTAAAGTTCCATCTCCTAAACCTACTAATATGCTACTTATATTGATTACAAGGCATTTTATTAATTTGAGTAGTAAGTTGTAAGATATTAGATATCTTTCTTTTAATAAATGATTTAAATTTCTCTTATTGGATGTATTTTAGTAAACCCAGTTCTTCAGCCCCTCCGTTTTAATTTGTTTAACTCTATATTTTTACATCACTCCATGTAAAATAATGGGATAGAACTTTATTATTGTTGTCTTTCATGTTTCTTGATTCATCACTTTTTTAATTTGTAAAAGCGTCTAGATAGCTTTTATCAAATTAAAATTCTATGAAAGTATACTTAGTATCGTGTTCTAACTTCTACTTGTGACCTTACATAACAACAACACAACATATCAAGTGTAGTCCTACAAAGTGGGATCTGGGAGGTAGATCCACTACAACAAATTTGACTATCAAAGACAAATGATTTCGTCACTTATAAATCCTATTTCGTCACCAAAGATCTTGTGTGACGAAAAAAATTTCGTCAGTCAGTTGTCACTAAAAGTTTACAAAGACGATTTAGTGCATCGTCACTAAAAATTTATATTAACTACAAAAAGAAAAATCATCCCCAAATGTGTCGATATTTGTGACGAATTTATTTGTCAATAAAAAGTGTAAATTTTTTGTAGTTAATAGTATGATTTTGTCACTAAAAAGGTTATTTTCACTGACAAAATTATATCGTCACTATTTATTTAGTTCAGTCAGTGACGACATCAATTGTCTCTAAAGTTATATGTATTTCGTAGTTGAACAAATGTAATTTTGTCACTAATGACTGTTTTTTATATACAAAAAATTATTTCGTCCTAAAATATATAAATTAGGGACAAGTTTATCATTATAAAAAGGTTAACAATTTCGTAGTTAAATTATCATCGTGTCACGAAAAGTATAGTTTTTATTGACAAGATATAATTGTCACTATAAATTATCATGATTAGTGACAATATATTTTGTCACTAAATGTAGTCGACTTATGACGAAATAATTTATTTGTGACAGAAATATTTGTCTTGAAAAGTTTGATTTAGTTGTTGCTAAAAGTTACATTTGATAAAATAATCTTTTGATGCTCACAAACATTCGATGACATTTAATTATTTCGTATTGATATTATTTTTTAAATTAGAATACATAAAATTGAAAAATAAATAATAAAAATATCTCAAATAATCATAAAATTCATCCATTATCATAGCATTAAAAACAACAAACATTTGATGATGTTCAAATTTGTAAATGGTAATAATTCACTAGTTTCTCGTTAATTTGATAATTTATAAATGGTGACAACTTTTCTCATATTTTTGAAGATTAATTAATCCATCAATATAAAAAATTTACTAGGAAAAGTCTAAGTCATAATATGCAACATGAAAATTTATTAAATTAACATCATGACAAATATTAAATTTATTTTTTAAACTTAGCAGATATCATATAATAATATAAACTCAACACAATAAAATAAAACATTTAACATAATAACAAAAAGTGTCTCTCATGATCATATATATTTTAGAATTAAAATATTCTTATATGATCCTAACGGAAGTACATAATGTTAGTCGTCAATAAGAAAATAAAAATGTTACTCCTTATATGCTAATGTAGCCAACTTATCTAATAACTTTACTCTTCATTCAATTTTTCAATGTACCTGTGTGAAAAGGAAAAAAATATAATTTTAATGTGTACTCACTGGTATTTTGATTTAAACATGATATATTATAAAATTTTAATTGTAAAGTTGATATTAGAATGAGAAATAAATAGAAAAGATACTCACTGAAATTCCACAGTAAAATTGCCAATCCTTCTTTTCTAAGGATATAGACCTTGAGCTTTGTCTGCAAACAAAAAAAATCATGAATCATATTTTTTAAAAGTTTCTAAAAATTTCTAACGCTGAACAAATTCATAGGCTAAACACAAGTAACTCGTTTAAATTATCATACTATATTTTTTAAAAATACACTAGAGTGAAGGGAGACAAAGTTCACAAATTTAAATAAATTTAAAAAACCCACTGAAAATTCAAGTGAGGTATAGAAGAAAGTGAAAGAGAGTTGCATATTTTCAAATTATTTAAGGAGTATGCATCTCATGATAAAACACTGAAATTCAATAAAAATAAAAATAAAAATAAAGATAATGGGAGAGAAGTATTACGTGGGGAGATAAGGAGTGGATGTGGCTAATAACTAAAAGAGAGGTTTGTGGAGAAGGAAAAGGAAATGAGAGAATTACGTGTGTTTTTTTCCTACAAATTTGGAAATGAATACTCTATTTTAATTTCTTCATTTGATTTTGGTAAATACCTTTATCTAATTTTTATTTGACATAAAATTTAAGAAATTAATTTAATTTATTTGATTTTGACTTGACATAAAATTTAGAAAGTAAATAAGATTTTTGAATCGCGTAATCTTAAAACTAAAAATATGTGGAATGTGTAAAAAATAGTTTTTAATCTTCTAATTTTAAATATGTCATGTGAAAAATTAGAATTAAAGAGTTACCAAAATAAGGGAAGAGAAATCATTTAAAAAAATAAACTAAAAAAGGAGTATGAAAAATAAATTAAAACAAAGGGAATTATAAATATATATAAAAAAAAAAAGTCGGGTAGAAAATTAAATATTTATCATAATATAAAGACACTTAGTAGTCATGCAGGGAAATGTGTTGGTTTCATTTTATTCACACTTTATATTTATTATATTACCCATAATTTATGGCTACAAATAATAAAATTTGTGTAGAAAGAAATAATAATTAAGACATAAAAATATTATGAGTGTTACAATTTGTATAAATCTTCTAGTTCTTCATTTTCAAAATCAATCCAAGCATTTTTAGTTTGATCTTCAATTTATGTTGGATTTGATATATATTTTGATTTGAATTTGATTTCTCATAAGTACTTTGATGACCGCCTTAAATAAGTTTTCCCACAAACAAGTGAATTTGATCTTGAATGTTTTGATATTTAATTTATCCTTGTTCTTTATTTTCAAGTATTTATAATAGGGAAAATGCATAAGTATCCCCCAGCCTATGCACCAAATCCCTAAGACACACCTAACCTTTACTAAGGTCCTATTACCCCCCCTCCCCGAACCTATTTTATATATAATTTTCTACCCCTTTTCGGCCTATGTGGCACTATCCTTGACAAAATTGTCAACACGTGCTGGGCCTACAAGATAGTGCCACGTAGGCAGAAAAGGGGTAGAAAATTAATTAAAAAATAAGTTCGG